GCTTCTGTTATGAGACTGTCACATGCCAGAAATATGAAAAAAAATTGTTTTCAAATGTTAACAGATATGAACAAAACTGCATCTAAACAAAATTTTAACTTTTTTTCAAGCGATCATTAAACACGAGAATAAACAAAGAAACTAAGCAGAAAAAAGAGCTCTAAATGCTTTGGTCTTACACAGCAGAAAGCTATAAGGGAACAATACTTGAAGCCACAATCACTTGTCATAACCCTCAAATCTCCCTAAATCACACAAAAAGCCCATAAACAACAGGACTTCAAATGGTGAGCACATTTTCATACGACCCTAATGTGCTTTCGCATACCGATCAAATTTTTCTAAATAATCTAGAAATTCAGAACGCTTCTGAGTGTTGAGCTCCTCCGCTTTATTTCTTCTCCACTCTAATCCTGTTCCTGGTGTTGGCGCATTCAACCCGAAGTTATTATCCGGACCTTTGTTGATAAAGCTTTCATCAGTACTGAAAAAAGAAGATAATAAAGGAAAAAATAAAAGCAAAACGACTAAGAAACTTATAAAAAACAAACCTTTTTCCGACTTTACTATCAAAATCATACACAACGAGCGGAGGAGTTACACTTCGCCTGGCATCCCTTTCAAAATATGCAACACCTGACAATCGATGGTTAACTCCGGGCGGTAATTTCGGCGGTGGCTGATCTCTTGCAGACATTTCATCAACATATCGATTTGGATCTCGGAAGACACACTGTAAAAATCAACCTAGATGCTGAAGCTACTACTGTAGTTTTGACTCTCTGAACTTTTTTGCTTACCAAACCATTTACCCCCATCAGATACAGTAAGTGAGGAAAGAAGTTTCGAAAATTCAAATCACACCAGCGTCTAAAAAAAATCTCCATGTCCTTACTTTTATTATAACAAAATCAGACGTAAATGCTTTACTGCACTATGATTTGCATGCACTGTAAAAATTGCACAATGAAATAAAGACCTTTCCATCTGCAGTGTACGGTCCAGGCGGCGGTGTTATGTCTTGTCGATAGACCCCGAACAACTTACTTTTGATCCAGTGTACCAATGGTATTTGTGACCGCCTATCGACTACAGTTTTCGCTATCTTTTGACCGCTGGCCATTCGTCCAAACTCTTGAAAAACCAGCTTCTGAAAAAGAAAAAAAGCGGTTTTAAAGGTTCCGCAGTTTTTGAGTATACGAACAAAGAAAAGCACAATTTCTAGTCACCTAATCTGACCCAACTGTAGTTTGCAGTGCCCATTCCCGCATGTTACTTTTTTCCGTCCAAACTTTCCTCTGTTTTCTACATGGAACTTTTCGGCTCATTTAACCCTTTGCTGCTCTTTCGTGAAGTTTATTTTTCGCAGCTTACCTCTTTAATTTAAGAAATCTAGTTTTAAGGTAAGCATTCCTAACAAATGCAGTTTTGCGGGGCTCCAAACAATAGCAAATTTAGTGTGATGGTCAATCATTCAGGTTTCGCAAAATAATTCGACGCTGGAATACCTAGACCCATTGACATACTGCACAATCCTCAAATCCCACGATTCAAATCCATAGTACACATATATTTCTCGCTACGACTCTGTCTTGTTCTTGACCGTTTTCTGTTCTTATTTCATTAAAATGATACTAAAACTGTAGCAATGGCAAAAAGTATTTAAAATAAATTTTAACTGCAGCTGAATCAAAAACCTGTATCTGCTTTGTGGCCTTGCATTATTAAGTTGAGAAAGCAATAGTGCAAATACCTTCTTAAAACTAATCTATCTAAAAGTAATAGCTAGACTGTTCGTTCAAAAAGATATTCACCATATTTATCAATGACACTTCGCTACCTCCAACTAAAGATGGGTAACGTGTTCAAAGACCTTATCTGGCTACGTTTCTTAGAGAATGGCCAAAGTATGTCTTCCTATTTCCTCAACCCAACAATTATATTATGCTATCTACAGAAATATTTTACTGTGAAACTGCACAAGATGAAATGGCTGAGGTTAAAACTCGACGCTCAGAAAAGAGAGAAAAAGCATCAGAACTTCTCTAAGACTGCTACAGGCACAGAAAACTGAGCTAAAGAAAAGAAAACTTCCCAGAAAAAGCGCCTTCTGTGACGAGTAACGTGAGTAACGTGATACGGCAGTGATTTCTCAATAATCCTAACTCAAAAAAATACCATTTTCTACCGTTCAAAACCAAATGAGTAGCCATCAAATCTCAATGAAAGAAAAGAATCGCATGTAATTTTTTTGAAAGTAACATATTACGAGAACAGGGCTTTATAATATTAAATAATTAAAAAACCAATTAATAAACAGTACTAAATTACTCGCTTGTGGATTTTCAGTTAAAACAATCTCCCAATTAGTCACAAATAAACAGGCAAAAATGGCTACAGAGCATCTAACTACATTTGTGAATTTCTCAGGTTTAAGAGCACCGGTTTTTTTTCTGACTATTATTTTAGCATTCCAGTATCTTTCATGTTCACTGAAATTGTGGTAATTCTGAAAAGTTCGATCTCAAAGATATGCGAAGAAATTCATCTGCGCACTGCTAACACAAATAGCTGAGTAGATACCACGAATCCGACACTGCAAATGATTCTTATATATCCTCTTCTCTGCGGCGATTTTTAGTGCACGTAGAGGAAAAGAGTTTTTAAACAGGAAAACGGAAAAAATACGGGTAAAATTTATAGCTCAAAACTGCTTAGTAAAACAGTTATACGTTTCAGCAATGACTGGAAATTCAGGTCCGGGAGGCCGCAAACGGACGGCTGTATCCGTAAAATTGCCACTACCGTCAGTTCCGCAATAGGGCTGTTAGAAAACAAATTTCTCTTTGATATTTCTTGAAATAATGCCAGACTCGAACCTGTTCATCCTTTCGATTACTTAGTGCGTTTAAAACAAATGCTTGCCAAGTAAAATCTATGAAGTGCCGAGCAAAAAAGTTTAGCAGGAGCACGTAGGGCAGGAGATGATTACGTGAACTGGAAGGAGCAGAGTTCAGGATTAAGGTTCTTGCGGATCGCTCTTGTTTTTGCTGTTCAGCACAGAGAGGCACTGTTCTCTGTCAAATGTCGCCATAAAAAGAACGGCTTTTCTTTGGATTAGGAGCCTCAGCCACTCCAGATTGTTTCCTAGAAAAGCTACTGGATTATCTTACCTGAGAATTTAAAATAAGGTCATCGATTTACATTATCAGTGGCATTTGAACTTGTTTTTGATATGAGAACAATGAATTGAATTAAAATAAGTTCCTTTGCAGCTTTTGATCTGGGATATTTGACAAATTCGAAGTGGTTGCATTTGCGGGCAAATTTTTTTTTTTTT